GATCAGGGGAAGTTTCTTCTAAGAAAGATGAAGTAAGATTAAATTTTAGATACTATTGAAGTTTCTTGAATTAATTCAAACACTTCTTCGACCTGGTGATATTTCTCTTCATGTCAACATCTACATTTCCATCAACATTTATTAATCTTTATATTTCCACCAATCTCAATATTCTACCTTTTCGTTATAATTAGATATACTGTCTTCTTATCCTTTCTTTGAATTCATATAATATTACTCTTCGTGTATGAATGTGAATAGAATTCAAAATCGTGGTTTTTATTTTGTTATTATTATTATTATTACGTTTACTAAGCAACAAAATTCATGTTTTTCTTGTGCATTTTCCGTGATCAACCCTGATGGAAATCAAATTACTTTTTAATATTTTTCTTATGTATCTCATTGTAGAGCTTGAATGATTTAGGAACATCTTCCACACTTCTAGATCCTAAAATGACACCAAGAACAAGTAGAGATCCTAGAGATCAGAAGTCCAGAATTTCTTCCAACGAGGGCCCACATTGGGTTCTAATTGCTGGTGGCGTACTATTGAGCACTCTATCAATTCGCCTAGGTTACAAGCTGAAACAAGCATTTGAGCCGAGGCAGCTGAAGGATAGTGGCAGTTCTTTGACAGGTCTTGTTATTTATGAAAGATTGAGGGAAAATTCCTGGTTGAAACTTATTAACTTTTGAGTTTTTTACTGCTCAGGAAATGTGAAGTCTTCTGACAGAAGAAAGGTTGCTGGATGTCTTTGCTCAAGTTTATATTCATATACACGAGATGATGAATGTTGCTTCAACTGTATGCCAGGTTGGTTTTTGTAATCTTTCATCTTTAAGGGGAAAAAGATAGTTTGGTAACTTTTCAAATGCGGTGTTCAGTTAGCCTGCTAAGCTGTTTACATTTTTCTGTTTGTGTTTGCATTTTTCTGTTTTACCTTCTCATGTAGTATGATGCTTCTAATATGTTTGATCTTCTGCGGGTTAACATGATCTCGATATCTCCCTTTTTTTGTCAATTTAACTTTGGAAAGGAGAAATTTGCTAAATGGAACACCGAATACTTCTTTCAAGTTTTACACATAGAATATTTTTATTTCTCTTGATTCCAATAACATTTTCAACATTATCTAAAGGTCCTGTTTCTTGTTTGGGAAAAAAAACAGTTTCAAAAGTTTAGATTGTCATTTCTTTTTACGTGGTTTTCTTCTTTGAGGAAAATGGAGTTTGAGGCAGAGTTATTCCGTGGGAGTTTAATACTTTAGTGCATAAAATCAGTTGTTTTCTGTTGGATAAGTTCGGGCCGATCTGGTAGGTGATCTAGATCATGTTTTTTCAGATTGGAAAATAAAATAAATTTAAGTCTTTGGTGGGCACAGTTTTTTAAAAACAGAATCTGGTTTGATCACTTAAAAGTGCTTTTATTTTGACAACAGGTTTCAGGTGTTTCCAAAATTCAGATTTGAAATCTACACCACTTTTTCAAAAAGTGCACCATATAACTGCGGATAGGATGCAGGAGAGAAGAGGGTTCTTCTCCATGAGTCATCCGAAAGGGGGTTTTCTTCTTGCCATAGCCTCTCTTTGGATTGGGGGAAGGTTGTCATGGACAGCACTACAATGCTAACCATTGTCGTGGTTCCTTGCTTCGTCCCAAGTTTCTATTTACTAATGCAACCTCATTTTCTTCATCTGGACATCTGGCTGAGATAGCTACATTAAGATGCCACTGGACCTTCCTTGCCGGCACAAATGGGGACCAGTCCAGCTTGGATTTCTTTGTTCTTACCATATTCGCTGTTCTTGGTGTTGCCATTTCATCTTGCTTCATTTTTTCTTTGAATACTTCCCCTTTTCAACGTTCCACACAATTTCCGCTTTTTATTCTCCACACCTCCTTCCTTTTCAAAGAAATAGAAGACACAGTTGTCAGTGGTGGTTGAAGGTTGTTTTTGGGTTTGGATTGAGTCGTTGCTTCCTTTTTTCCGGGGATTCTCCGTTTCTTCTATCTTGTTTCCTCTTATTTTCCCTTCATTTGGTAGGAATTTGTTACTCAATTCAGTTTATGGCATGGGATCTTCTAAAACCAATGCACATACTAAAATTATATACTATCAGCCAGATTGATGTTAGAAGATGGAAAAGAGTGTAGTGGACCAGGCGACCACAGAAAGAAGATCTGTGTGGGAGAAATTGTTTCAATGGTTATTGTATAGGAGATTGGTGTGTGCGGTAAGATTTTAATGTTATAAGGTGGTCCCATGTGAAATCAGGGGAGATAGAAGAACTTGTAGCATGAAAAGTTTTGATGATACGATAGATAGATATTCAATTAGAAGAAACTTATTTATCCAGTGGAAATTTTGCTTCTTGATTGAAAATTTTCTAGTAGATATGGATTGTATTAATGTATTCAAGGAAATGAGAGTAATCAGTACCTAAATTTTTTTACGAAGCCAGCAACCCATCGTTATTGAAACAGGAAGTAAGAAGTTTAAAAGTGGCAGCCCTCCTCTCTTCATTTTACAGTGCACGGCTGAACAACGAAGACATTGTTATGAACCATGAAACCACCCATGTATCTCCACAATGATATGATAGATATTATGATATTATCCACCTTGAATTTATCTAATGATAGCCTTGATGACTAAGGTTCCATAAATGAAGATTCTGTTTTTGGCTGGTTCCACTTGTGATCTTTAAGCTGTTGGTTGAATAAATTTGGTAGTTTTTGGGTCTATTTTACTCGATCTTATTTATTCTTTCATCAATGTTCTAATGATGGTGTTGCAATGCAGGGACTCAATGTACGACGGATGTGAAGTGCCCACCTACAGATCAAATGGTGGTTGCATCTGAGACTGCTCTTCCTTTGGTAATGGTTCCAGCTTCTGAATTCAACAAGGAGAATGGTGTTATCTGGGCAGCTTCTCCTGATCGGCTCGAGATGCCTGCAAAGCAATTCCATCATTCAAACTGCTCAGATTCACCTTGTGTCTCGGAGTCCGGTTCCGATATCTTCAGCAAACGTGAAGTAATTCATAAGCTAAGACACCAATTGAAAAGGAGAGATGATATGCTACTAGAAATGCAAGATCAAATCGTTCACTTGCAAAATTCTCTTAACGCTCAGGTAGCCCACTCCTCTCATTTACAGTCACAAATTGATACTGCAAACCAAGACTTGTTTGATTCAGAAAAAGAGATTCAGAGGCTCAGAAAAGCAATTGCAGATCACTGTTTGGGTCAGGCAGGCCCCAATGATAAGTCGCCGTCAACAGCAAGAAGTTGGTCAAGCGAGACGAGGAACGGTCATGCAAATGGTTATATGGATGGTAATTGCAACTTTGAGGTAGCTGAGAAAGTAAGAGAGGAGGAGAGAATTGAGATGTTCAAAAAGGAGGTAGGGGACTTAAAGGAAGTGATAGAAGGAAAAGAATACTTATTGCAAAGCTATAAGGAGCAGAAGACGGAGCTTTCTTTGAAGATCAAGGAATTGCAACAGAGATTAGACTCTCAACTTCCCAACATTTTGTAGGTTCATTCCAGATTTTTTGTGTATTCTTTGGTTGCCTCATTTTTCAAATTATGATCTCAATTTCTATTGAGCAACATCTCTCTTCTCCTTTTTTAGTTCTTAAGTTTTTGGTTGGTTATTAGTTATAGTATAGGTTGTTTTGATGCATTGTTTTTTTTTTTTTTTTTTTTTTTTTTTTTTTTTTTTTT